AATTAATCGATTACCTGATAACTATGAAGACCCTTCATTCTAATTCATTACACCTTTGTCAAATTCAGTAACGATCACCTGCTACTGTGGATTTGCTGACGTTCTGATGTTCATACAAAGCTACAGCTCAAACTGATCCACACAACACTAATCCAGCGTGTCCTGTGCACATTCAAGCTCTTGCACATCCTTTGTAGTGCACTGGACAGGTAGAAAAGTAAGAGGAGGTGAGATAGGGGGAAGAGGGGAGTGAGAATGATAAAAAAAAAAATCTGGCATATGCTAACTAGCTAAATATCAACAGTTTTTCTCCAAAGTCACAGAATCTACCTTAAGTTCTTGCAGCCATACATAAGGGCTGTCTCTGATATTAAAACTGGTAGTATGGCTAATGAAAGCATGCCCATTCAAGTATGCCCGACATTACATGTTAAACCTGGCCAGTAGTGCACAGTGAAAGGGTTAAAGCTTCCACGCTCAGGACAGCAGGTCTGAGAGGTAATGCATGGCTGATGAGTGCTGGGCTAATGGGCAGCTCTGTTAGCTGGAAATCAAATGACTGCCTCTGCATTTTAAGTCCCTCTGTCGCCTCCATTGACTGACTAAAGATATTCATCTCCGCTGTGTCAAGGGGTTGGGGGAGAGGAGGAGGGGGTTCAAGTAAAGAGAGGAAGGGGAAGAAAAAGCGAGAGGGTGAGGGGGGGTGAGAAGGGGAGGGCATCTTAGAAGAACCTGAAGACCTAATGCAATTATTAGAAACTTGACCACAAATGACAACTCATCTGGCGCTGGCTCTGTAATTAATTGTCTGCTAGCAGGGAGTGCAGGGGCTTGGGAGGGTGAGGGGTGGGGTGAGGAAGAGAGAGGAGAAAGAGAGGCAGGCGGGTGATTGGGAGAGGGCAAAATGACAGGTGAGGAGAGAGATGCAAGGAAAGAGATGAGGTAAGATGAGGCAACCGCTTAAAGATCGTCGTTAGAGTGTAAGAGACAAAAAAGGGTTTGGACACGCTGAAAGAGAACATGTTCTGTGAATGATAGAGGCAGAAAGAATGCAGGGAAAAGACGACGAGAAGAAAAAAGTGTGCGATTGGAGGGGATAAAAGAGAGAGGAGAGACGAGAGAGAGCAGGAAAAGGAGCTGGAAAAAGAAAGCATGAGAGCACAGACATAGTGATGGATCCAGCGACCATGTTAAATTGGTCAGTATTGACCTTGCCAGGGCTCAGTTTAACACTCTCACTTGTTTTTCCAGTTTTACTTAATTGACCACAGATAACTAATTACCATTTCCTGGAACAACAGTACATTACTCTCTCTCTGTCTCTGTCCCCCTGGCTCACTTGCCATTCTCTGTCAGGCTCTCTGTCTTTGTGGTTTGTAGTTATTTCAAAGGGAAAACAAACAACGCAAGTTCCCCAAAATTTAATGATATTAATTTTCAACCTTCCAAATCTTTGTCATGTAAAAAAAGGGAAACAGAATCACGACTGACCAGCATGTTTGAAGCTTAAAAATTGGTCATAGTCCTAACACTCCCTCTACGATACCACGCATGCCTCCACTTGTGCTGCTTCTGTCAGATTCCTGCTTCATGTTGAACAGTAGTAGGTGGATTCCCAGAAGTTCTGCTTTACAAACAGGTCAGAGAGGTGTTATTAGAGGTCACAGCTTTGTGAGGATGAGTGACTTTCCGTTGGCTACTGCATGTTAATGTTTAGTTTGCCTGGCAAAGAATAATTTACACATTTGTTTGTCAGGAGATGACATGCAGCTCTATGTGAATCATGGAAATATAGTTTTAGCTGGGTATCTCTTTAGAACATCATTTACATGTTCCCCTTTTTGGGCTTTTCATGGAAGATATTTTAACATGTCACAGAAACTAGCAGGTGGTTTTTTAAAAGATCAAATTAATAATGTCTAGGTTTCACATTGTGTGTGCAAGTTCACTGTCCTGCTTTACTAGCTTTATTAAAGGAGTCATCTTTAATGCTGTTTGTAACACATGCGCTTTTTCTGCTTTAACAAGTCAATGTGTTGTGGAAAAAGGCTGAATATACCTTTTTTACAACTCTAACAGTCACAAAATCTTAAAACATTGCATCCATTTTATGGGACATCTATCTAAAGCAACAAACATTTGGAAAAACCAGCTTGAGGTTCAGTGTTTTGCTCAAGGACACTTGAGGACAAACCAAAAATGTACCCATAAATCCTAGCTGTCTGAGGTGTATCAGTGTCCAATGAACACCGTTATGAAATGAGTATGAGCTATCACTGATACACTAATTCCTACAGTGATACTGTATGAAAATAATAGCTGTTAGACTGTGTTTGTATTTGTGTTAATTGCTTGCTCACAAATGTAATGAATTACTATTTATATTAACTACAGCACTAAGTGTGTTTTAATACGCCAGCAGTTGAGTTTCTTTAAAGAGGGCAAACTACAATATGTCATGTGACTGCCACGCCTTCTAAACATCCCAAGCCTGTCACGGCATATCACAAATCACTGTCTGTCTGCTTCATCCTTGTCTTTCCATGTCTGCACTTCGTCTCCCTCCCCTCCCTCTCTCCCGCTGTGTGCCGGGGCTATAATGTGCTCCTGTGGTTGTAGTAAGCAGGCCATAGTGTCTCTGAGGCCTTGTGCTACACCACCATTACTATCTGGCCTGCCTCCACTACAAATTGGATGAACAGGCACTGACACATTTTCAATATTATTACATTAAACCAAGTGGATTTTGATTGATAACCTAATATTGGCCTAATGCAAAACATCAATCATGGCAAGTATATTAATTATTTAATATTGTGGCGTAATTCAGAAATCGATGCTGCCTCTGCGTTGAAGGCACAGAGTACGGAGAGAGGGAGGGAGGGAAGAGAGAGATAAGGAGAAAAGGAAAGCTCGGTCCCTGAAGACCTCAGCAGATTATATGATGTTTTGAAAAGAGAGATGAGGATGTAAAATGTGTGTGTGTGTGTGTGTGTGTGTGTGTCAGCTGTGCGTGTCTAATGGATAGAGCGATCCCTTCGGCCCTGGTGCGGACAGCGCTGGACAGCTTGCCCTTGATGAAGCCAGGACAACAGATGAAAGAGCGGGAGATTAAATGCAAGTGAAGAGCTTTAATAAAGGTTGAATCGCGAAAATAAAAGACAGGAGGGGAAAAAAAAGATGTGGGTATAAAAAGGAGCGTGAGGGGAGAGAGGAGGAAGAAAAAAGAGAAGGGAAATGAGTGGAGGAGGAGGGATCGAGCGCTGCGTCTCCCCTGTGTTAGATTGTTTCTCACTAATTGCGCTTCATTAGCGGATTACACACACTGTCACCACGGTAACAAATGTCTTGCTGTCTGGTTGCCGGGCGCCCGTCATGTATAATGAATGTGGCGGGGTGTTTGTCAGAATGTAATGTAATTACAGCTAGATGAAGTTTGCCTTAAGTGGTTGACTTGTCTGCATGTGGCTCACTGACAGAGCACAGAATAAACAAGCAAACATCTTTTCTTCATGACTTTCTCTTCCATTCTGGTAGTTTTTTTTTTTGAAACTTTTGTTAATATTTCTGTTGGACATTTCTGGCATTCCTTCATATTGTTATTTAGATAGGCTGATGATGTGGGAATGGGTTTGTGGTCATGCTGGGTACGGGACATGGCCTGATGGATGGATGGATAGATGGGAGGAATGGAGGGAGAGGGGGCTGGAGGGTGGGATGGATTAGACAGTATGTAATTTTAGAGATGGTGTAGATTTACACTGTGATGCTGCCGGCTGCATTAGCAACTGAAGCCTGTCGATAAGCCTTCCTCCCTCTCAGCGCACACACACACACATACACGCACACACATACATGCACACGGTGAAACGCCACAGCCTGGGTGGAGTTGTCAGTAATGGAGGCCAGAGTTGGATGAGGGGTGCTGGGATCGGGGACGGGGGCTGTTTGTGTTCTCTTGATCTTTTGATTTCCACTGCTGCAAATTTGAAATGTGCCAAAATTGCATCTATTATTTACTGCCAATTTGCTCTTTTTAAAACAGACTGCTCCCCACTCCTCCTCCACTTCCTCGGCTCGCCGTTCTGCTGTTGCTACCCTGATAATCATACACACATTTTTTATTAATTCACAGATAATAAGCTCCCAGTTCTTCCTTTGTAGTTGGAAATTATTATTATGACTGCCAGCAGTGTGGCGACAATATTAGTTAACCTCTGTCTGGTGTAGATGCAAACGCGTGAAAATGCACACAGCATTTCAGTCTGAGAGGTTAACAATTAGAATAATTCCTCATTATGTGTGTTTTCCTTTTGATTAAACAAAACCTTTTTGATATCATTAGGATCTTTTTCCCACACAACCATTTTCATCCTGCTGAAACACAAAGAAGATTTGATGATCCTGACAGTTGCCTACTGTATTCCATCTAGAGACGACATGATAAGTTGATTAATCGACCAATAGGAAATAAATCTGCTTCAATATTTTGCTAATCAATTAATCATTTAAGCAATTTTGTTCTAGCGAAAGTGGAAAACATCACTGCTTCTGCTTCTCAAATGTGAATATTTTTTACCATTAAGATATTAAACGTAATATTTTTGTGTTTTGAACTGTCGGACACCACAGCAAGAAATTTTAAGCCACTGGGCTCTGGAAACTTGTGATGGGCATTTTTATTTATTTGTTTATTTTTGCTATTTGTTGACGTGCTATATTGCTACAATAAATGTACTGATCAAGAAAATAAGTAGATTAATTATTAATAAAAATAATTAGTTTTTAGTTCCTGATTCCAGCTACTCAGAATTAGCCATAGGTTGTTTTCCAATGTGTTAGAATAGTTGAGAAATTAATTCAGAAAGCGTTCTTCACAGAGTTTATTTTGTGTTTTTTTTTT